TCGGACATTGACCATTGCAGTGTCGATGGGATTTCCAGTGTTTGATCATGTTGGTGATCGGTACGGTCTACTCGCGTCCGACCGATTTAGGAGCTGCATCAGAACTTTGATTCTGAGGGTCGTGGTGTTCCTACCCCGTAGGGACGCGGACGACGTACTAGAACGTCGTAAGACGCACTCAGTGACCCACCAGTGACACACTTGTGCGTCCTGAGTTTATAAGCAACCTAATGTCCCGTGCAATCAGATTGCTAGAGATTGCTAGAATACAATATGACGGACTCTCTCGTGAACTGCAAAAAAGTGTATCGGTGTGCGTATTTCTTCGGACAGTGGCCTGCAGGGCTCGTATTCATGGCACTGTGTATACCCAAAATTTCAATTGAAAATCTGGTGCTTGCCATGTCCTGCATCGAAGAATCGTCACTAGGACACATCAGACATCACCATTCTCTCTCTCTCTCTCTCTTTCTCTCTCTCTCTCTCTCTCTCTCTTTGTCTCTCTCTCTCTCTTCCTCCTTCTTTCTATCTTTGTCTCTCTCTCTCTGTCTCTCTCTCTCGCTTTGCCTCTCTCTCTCTCTCTCTCTCTCTCTCTCTCTCTCTCTCTCTCTCTCTCTCTCTCTCTCTCTCTCTCTCTCTCTCTCTCTCTCTCTCACTGTATCCCCCCCCCCCCCATCTCTCTTATTAAGGATTATATGTAGGACACACATGCACAAAAGCACGCAGACCACACATGTACGCACACACAGCTTCATTAATGGCAACGCTTGCTGGGAATACATCGTTTAGCTTTTCCACGGGAGGCATCATTCCGTGGCTTCCAAAGCACATTCACACACTTTCGGACCATCTGAGAAAGCCCATCAGCAACGGCAATGCAAGCTTGCCTCATACTTCTAGGCAAAGAAACCAACACAAACACCTTTGAATGCGAATGTGCCCTGGTCCTGGAGATAATTAACAGCCTGTAGTCTCTATACCACACACTGCTGCAAACAAGGAAGTACTAGCAGCCATGTCACGGTTTTGCACAACAAACAAGAGCACTGGGAAATGACAGTGATTGCCTGGTGGCGTCAACTGAAAGAGCAAAATACATACTGCCCAACTATATTATGCAGCATGGAAGCATGAAGCAGGTAACGCTGGAATGCAGGGGACGCATGTTGGCGAAGATGCTATGTCAGGAGAAGATGCTATGTCAGGAGAATATGCTATGTCAGGAGAAGAATGTTCTGACAGTGCCCACACATGTACGCACACACACACACACACACACACACACACACACACACACACACACACACACACACACACACACACACTGACACACACACACACACACACACACACACACTGACACACACACACACACACACACACACACACACACACACACACACACTGACACACACACACACACTGACACACACACACACACACACACATACACACCCGCACGCACGCACGCACACACGCACGCACACACACACACACACACACACACACACACACACACACATCAGCAGCAGCAGGAACAGCATCAGTATTGAGCGTGTCTGGAAATGGCGCAAGCACACTCACACTGCTTACAGCTTATGCTCTGCACCCGATTTATTGCATACATGGACACCGTTTTGTAATGATATTAAAATTATTACAACAGTACAGAATTATACATGACCAGGGGAGGAGGAGGTGGTAGCTGGGAGGACGGAAGTGAGGGAGAGAGTGAGAGAGTGTGTACGTGTGTGTGTACGTGTGTGTGTACGTGTGTGTGTACGTGTGTGTGTACGTGTGTGTGTATGAATGTGTGTGTGTGTGTGTGTGTGTGTGTGTGTGTGTGTGTGTGTGTGTGTGTGTGTGTGTGTGTGTGTGTGCACAAGCTGCTATGGCTTCTGCTGTAGCATCGCTAGCATCGCCTCTGGCGATGGGTGTCCAATGGTCCAATGGTGTGCGTGCGTGCCTACGAGAGAGAGAGAGAGAGAGAGAGAGAGAGAGAGAGAGAGAGAGAGAGAGAGAGAGAGAGAGAGAGAGAGAGAGAGAGAGAGAGAGAGAGAGAGAGAAAGAGAGAGAGAGAGAGAGAGAGAGAGAGAGCCCAAGGGCCAAGGTTATTTATTTATTTATTTAAGGATTCCCCAAAGGCCGAGGCCTAAGTCGAGGGGGTCTCTGTTCATGGCTTACTGGGAATATATCTGCGAAGTTTATGACGGGCTGACGACAGACGATCATCCTAACAACAACACCACCGCAGCGACGAAGCCTAGAAGCACCACAATCGGCATGGCTTGCACGGACGACACAGCGCCGGTCAGCAGAAGTCTCCGCGCCACCTCGCTATTCCTTGCCACCAGGTTGGTGCCGTTCAGCTCAACGCAGTCCACCGGGTCGGTCGTGTACGTGAACGACGCACCCCATAGCGTGTTGCACATGTTGCTGGCGTTGCCATAGCGATCTTCCCAGGTCAGACACTGCGAGTCCGTGCGGCAGAAGTTCTCTCCGTCGTCGGTCGTGTTGTAATCGAAAAGCCAGTTGGTGGCACAGCTGAGTTGTTGCCTACATGCCGACCACCAGTCGTCACAGAACCCTGAGCACAGCGGCACACCGGCTATAGACGATGGGAACTGGCCCTCCCAATGAGCGGCGTTGGGACTGCAGCGGTAGAAGCACTCGATGTGTATCATGAAGTCCTCGCAGGCCTGGCTCAAATTGCCGCAGCGACCCCAGTGAAAATTGTCCACGGACACCACGGTTGCCGCAGCCAATATTCTAGTGAAGTTCGCCGTGCAGCAGGAGTTCTGCTGGTAGTTGAAGCACTCCGAATATCCTGCACCTTCCGGACTTGCTCGCGCCTTGTGCCGTCCGCCCTGTATGCAGAGTCCGTCCGTTCGGTAGCGTGCCTGTGCGCTTGCTCTGGACACGACGCACATCCCCGCCAAACACGCCACAAGCATTGCAGACCACCCTGCACTGGCCATTTCAGCACCGTCCACGAAATCTAGCAATCGATGAAATTTTAGAGAAGAAAATGAGTGGATCAGCGCACCTAGGCCTAGGGAGCCTCCTAGCTGCTTTGACCAATACAAAGTCCAGCGATACGGGCGAGGAATCTCGATTAGCCTGCTCCGTCAGTTTGAGTGCTTTCGCGAGGTAAATTACTAAAAATAACAGGGACGGAAAGAGAGGGAGAGAGAGAGAGAAGGAGAGCAAATCCAAGCCAACTGATTTCTGGCAAATGACGAAGAGGTTGTTGGACAACCTTTCAATTTCCTGCCGTGCACGCGCTCACTGAGTCTGTGTCAATCAGTCAGTCAAATCACAGGCCGAAGACGGCTAGCATTTTCAGCCACAACTGTTACTTGGCACAAGTAGATCTACTACACGAACAATGACTGAATGAGTCTGTACTCGTAGTCGACTACAAGTACAAGTCGCAGATCGTGGCTAGGCTCCATCCACGTGGTGCACGCAACAGACGCAGTGAATGATCATGAGATGTGCCGGGAGGTGCATGCTAGGCCAAGGCTAGGTAGGATAGGGGTCAGCGACTCGCCGCAAGTGTAGCAGGCCTTGACTGGAATGATCTGACTGACTCTGATCTGTCCGTGGCACCATGCAAATGGTCTACTCCGTCCACTCGCTCGCCAGACACGGGCGCATGCCAGGCGCACGCATCAAGCAGCATGCAGCACGCGGGGCATGTCGATGCTGAATCATCAGTGAACATCGTGAATGCAGGCGAGCTCGAGCTCCATCACTCATCAGGCATCATGCAAACCAGGGAGTAGTATTACTTTACTACTCCCTGATGCAAACCATGCTGCCGAGAAAGCAGCAGAATATCCAAGGTCAAGTACGTAGCCATAATGTTTTTTGTTGCAGCGATGGTTGTTGGTCCTTCTGCCATATCTAACATCTAACAACAACAACAACTAATCCATGTTTGTTTTTTTCGCGCACCAACCTCTTCTTCACGTTTTTTTTAGGAAACCGGCCACAACGCGCACGCCTGCACAAATACATACGAATTACAAAGCCCTAAATAGCTGCCTCTGAAACCACCAGCGTGGCGGGAGGCTCTTGTTGATCAATTCTTTGTTGATATTTTCCAAAATATCCTAATAATGTTCTAAACCCTCTAAAGTCTAAGGCACACTATACATAACCTTAGGAGGGCAAAGGAAATGCGGCACCTGACAAATGCCATGACATGTGAATAATAATTATTATGGTTCATTTCGTCTATCAGCAAGCAGCGATGCGATTATCTTATACATGTACAGGCTGGTTGCCGAACGCCCAAAACCACCTGACGCCGTCGTGACCACCGGGGCAAACGACGCACTGTCGACATTCCGGACCCGCTCCTAATACTTTCGTTTTTCCTGTTCATGTCGGTAATAGACAGTGGCCAGTGGTGCAGTGCGGTTCGAGGCAGCATGAGGGTTAACTTAAACACCCGTACATCAATGAGTGTGCGCTCGAAACGACTGCCCCGCAATCCACTGCACCGATATCGAGACGTGCCTGGCGGTAGCGAAGTCGCTCTCCGGTTAGCCATAATTATGTACAATGTAGGTAGATCAACATGTGTACTATTAGTGGCTGCCACGTGAACGTCATTTTTGTTGTCGTGAAGTACATGTACAAACTACGCGTCTACCTCGCGTGCTCCGGGAAGGAAGGATGGCAAGTTCGCAACTCATCAGGATGAGATCGTTGTCAACTATCACTAACTGTCTTATTTTCAGTTGATAAGAAGCACAGCGCCACAGCCGTCATGAACAACCTACACTACAAGAGAAAGATAGCGTCCTGATGACAATGAGTCGTTGAATGACACGCAAAGGATTACCCCAACTCACAAGGGGAGGACACACCTCGTCCGCATATCCACGTACATATACATGTACATGATAATATTATACCGTTACAATAGCAAGAATTCCCAGATTGCCTAGAGTGCTCAACACCACAAGGATGGAGCAGTACCACAAAGGCGGAAGAGACCAGAGACAGCCGGCTAGGTCATTGTTATGACGCTGCGTTTCATGCACATACATGTAACAAAGCTAAGGCAATCCTCACACATTTGAGTTGTGTGAGGATTGCCTTAGCTTTGTTATGAGTTGTGTGAGGATTGCCTTAGCCTTGTTATGTGCATGAAACGCAGCGTTACAACAATGACCTAGCCGGCTGTATCTGTTCTCTTCTGCCTTTGTGGTATTCCGTTATTATACTCATTGGTTTGAGGGAAAGATGCAAACGGGAAGAGTCCGAAGACAAAATGGACTGTCACCACTAGGACTTGAAGCAGGGACCTTCGCTTGAGGCCAGCGATGCTCTAACCACTGAGCTATGCATGCCATAACTAATGTTGTCGTCAATAGTTGCTATCTTTCCTTGTTTGTTTTCTTATACAGTAGTGTTAATAGTAGTTCTTTGGTGTTGCAATGTCCATTAGTACAACGACGATTCCTTAATGAGTGTTGTACGGAAACTTACTTGTTCGAGTCTTTGTCTATTCTCCTTTCACTACAATGTCACTAGTACTAGTACTAGTACAATCATGTCACGTTGTTTCGTCCTTTCTTTCATTTCTGTGACTAGTATTGCGCACTGTTTCTATGACTTCATCCTGCACGAATCAACTACAATCCTGTGCATCAACATGTACATGTATAATGCACATGTTGATTCAGCTTGTTCTCTTCATTGACACTTTAGAGTTTAGTCACCTCGCCGTCACTTTACATACACCTGTATTAAATTATATTACTGTGCCTCAACAATAGGCTATTCATTTTTCAAATACTATTTACAATGTACTACATTGTGTAACTACTACATGATTGTACGTGCGCAGTTACGCAGTACCACACTCAGGCACACGGACCGGAGCGACGTTGTCATCCTACTTCGAATGCCCTGCATGACTCTTGATCTTGTTGCATGCTGCATGGGATGACGGGCGTGAAACTTTTAAAAGTGGGGGTACATGTACCGGTACATGTATGTGATTTTCTATTACTTCACAGTAAAGTCAGCATATCAATTAATGAATTATGTCTCAGAAAGTGGTGGCCATCACGCAACTGCATTGTAAATACAAGGGAGTTTGTCAACTGGCAACCACTCTGTTTAGTTGCTATTCACTCTTGGCCCGTGCGCTGGCTGAAAATTCTTTTACTAGTGATGTCGAAAAATTATGACGTTTCGGGACAGTCACCCATCGTCAGAGACAAATCTCCTTTTATATACATGTACCAATTATGATTTATAGAAAAAGAAAAAGGACCAAGGAAGTACAAGTTACGCTATAATGTCCACTAACACCACCAGTTACTAAACAATCAGCTTGTGCGATAGCACTTGTTTAGCGCGTTTGTTTAGTAACTGGTGGTGTTAGTGGACATTATAGCGTAACTTTTAGTTCATTGGTCCTTTTTCTTTTCAATAAATTAATAATCATTGGCTCTCCATCCGAGTCCATACCGATTATGATAGTCTACAGTATACAGTCAGTAAGCCCTGTGAAGGTCAATCAAATCAGTGACACACCATCAGTCACACCAACCACTGTAACACTGCACTGCACTGCGCTGACACGGGCTTTGTTCTTCCGCGACATCCTAGTACTAGCTGAGCTGAACTGAAGCGGCCGATTTGTCGTCATCAAGCTCAAGAACTACAATGACAGTACGGTAGTCTACGAGAACATAATACAATCTCTAATATTATCAAGAGTATTATAATCCCCATACTCTTGACCGTAGTTATATTATTATTATTATTATGACGACTTTATTCACTCCCAAAGCAGAAAAAGAAAGCTTGAAAGGAGGCATGAAGCACAGCACCGGGATCCATATGACCCAAGGGTGAAGCACCAATCAATGAAGATAAAAGAAAATCCTGAACAAAATTTTGATAAACTTCATGAGAGAAAAATTCAACTATACCAACTTCGATACTCACATAAAATCACAGTCATGTATAACAGAACTACTCAAGTAGTAAACACCAAGCATGCTGCACATGGGACACTCCAAGCAAGACAAACTCAGACGAGATAAAACGGCATATGCAGAGAAAGAAAATACATGACTGGGGGCATTATTATTATTATTATTATTATTATTAAAAGTAGAAAGGAAAAGGACATATGGAAACGAGTTAAGAGTAACTCTCCACCACTGTAACTAGATACTATATACAGTATACAGTATACAGTATACAGTATTATTGGCTCAATACCCGAGTTTTATATTATTATTATTATTATTATTATTATTACAAAAAAAGTATTGTCTACGCATGCATCTACGCAAGAGTCACCACCAGCCAATTAGGACATGTGCCAAAGTATTGAACGTTTTCGTTCCCTTCTTGTCAAAATACTACAGGGAATGATGGAAATAAGCTAAAAGACTACAACTATAAGGAAAAGAAGTTCAGAAATATATCACTCCAATTATGTGTAGAAGTGACACGAAAAAAATAGATGTGAAGAATCAAGAAAACAGCATGCAAATCCAATAAGTGACAAAAACGTAGTGACAAGAAAAAGAGAGAAACATCAAGAGATCTATTTCGCACCTTCACGACGAACAGTGCCAAACAACTGTAAAGACAACACATTCTCCTTCTGAACACAAAGCTCAGGGTCTAACTTACGTATGTACAAAGCTTCCAACACGGCAAGATGTAACAAAGACCTACCACGCGACAAAACAGAGAATACATCATCGGAGTACCACTCACGACAACTAGCACTGCCCGACAGGTGACACTTGATTGCCGAGGTACCGTTTCCTTATAGTTGTAGTCTTTTAGCTTATTTCCATCATTCCCTGTAGTATTTTGACAAGAAGGGAACGAAAACGTTCAATACTTTGACACATGTCCTAATTGGCTGGTGGTGACTCTTGCGTAGATGCATGCGTAGACAATACTTTTTTTGTAATATTTTCTGCCTCCGTCCTACTTTCAAATTATTATTATTATTATTATTAATAATGCGAAATAGTGGTTGCGACTTCGGCGATGATTTGTAATGCTATGAATAAAATAATTGGCGCACTCATACTTCAAACGCACAAAGCAAGGTAGGTATATGTACATGTACATGTAGGTAGGTATATGTACATGTAGGTAGGTATATGTACATGTAGGTCTAAAGGTTTCCATGAACGTTTACATTGTCATTGTGACGATCATCAGTTGCACAATACATCACAATAGAGAATACAAAAAAGGAACGTGAAGAAGAGGTCGGTGCGACTCCGGCGATACTTGGGGTGTTACTCTCTTCCTGCCGACTTGAATTCTCACTTGACTGACTCACGACTGCCATCCAGAGCACACGAGAAGTCCA